AAAAATCTCAACACTAGTTCACTTTCCTCTCATCAGGCTCAGAGCTAACTGTGTTCAAACAAATGAAAATTACAGCTTCACTAAGAGAGTTTTAGATCACAAAATCCATACAGACTCCACAGATGTTTGCAGTTTGATTAGCATTGACCATGATTTACTAATACTTTAGATAACTAGGAGCAGCCAAAGCCATATTCCTAAAAAAAAAAAATAGTTATATGGAGAATGAAAACCATTTCACTGAGAGACCATCAATAGCTATCACATCATTTAAAAGAAAAGTTGGATGAGAATCTTACCAAGCTTTGTCCCAACAAGGATAACTGGAACACCAGGCGCATAATGCTTCAATTCAGGAATCCACTAAAATAGGGGTGAGAAACATTAAGAATTCATTGCACATCAAAATTGGAAATCATCCCATTAAAATGAACACTAAATGTTCCAGTGAATGATGATAATCTTACTTTCTTGGCAACATTTTCATAGCTGGCTTTGCTAATAAGAGAGAAAGCCAGTAGGAAGACATCAGCTCCTCGATAGCTCAAAGGTCTTAATCTGTTGTAGTCTTCTTGGCCTGTTCCATAAATCAAAAACACAGAAAAAAAAAGGGTCAGAAAAAACATCCTAAGTCAAAAGACTGAAACACATGATATATTTAGCTTACCAGCAGTGTCCCACAACCCCAGATTAACAGTGTTTCCATCCACGACTACATTTGCACTAAAGTTGTCAAATACAGTAGGTACATAATCCTGTTAACAATCAAGATCAGAAAATCAGATCAGACAACTCCACATGAATATGCTTTATCAAATAATTCTACAAGCATTTTTCGTACACAAATCAAAATCAGGATAATTGACTAAGAATCACCACTGTGCAGGGATATAACATGGAATATCTTTGAAGAGAACCTTCTATTACCATTAGTTTCAGAAATGACACTTAACCCCTTCAAAGTTTCATTTTAAATGAGACATTTAAAAGACAATTTCTTTTCTTCTCTTTAAGGGACATGGTTCTAAAATCAACAGCGTAATTAACATGAAAACCCTGCAAGAGTAACCACTGTCACAAGAGTTTTTAAGACTAAAATACGAAAAAATTTCTTCTACCCTACCAAGACCACTTTTATCAAAGTCCAATAGAAAAGAGGACATTGAAACTAAGGACTAATATTGCTCACTTCAACAAAATTCATCAATAAGCACCCAATATTCAACAATAATACCCGATACCCAATTAAAGGTATGAAAGAAAATATTTTACAAGAGAACACTGCAAAGCAAAAGACACTAAGAAGCATTCCGCCTCTTTAAAAACACTGCAACAATTCACATTGACCACCAGAAATTACCCTATCTCTCATTTGGTTGATGGGAAAATGAGGGGAGAAAGAAAGAACAAGAAGCCTCAAGACCAAGTCAAGAGCTTTCTTCATTCTTTCTCTTGTCGCAGTGGGTCAACCCCTCCCCCTCTTCCCGCATTTTCCCAAGAACCAAACATGGGAGAGAACCCTAAAACAGAACTCTCTACTCACAGTAGGAAAAGTGTTGCTGGTGTAGGAGATAAGCATGCAAGTCTTCCCGACGGCACCGTCGCCGACCGTGACGCACTTTATGAACCTGGACGCACTCATTTCCCGCCGCCTGCAACAATTTTACCCTCAACGCAGTCAGTTCACCCTCTTGTTTCCTGCTTTTTGTTCACCTGGGGAACCCTAAAACAAGCTGAGGCACACCATTGAACACTTGTTGGGGTCAGAAAAAGTGATAAAGTACCTAGCTTGAGGACATTTCCTGGGAGAGAAACAGAAGGACAATTGAGGGTGAAAATAAAGGACAGCTCTTGACAGCTATAATGTGGAAGAGGAACTGATGAATCTGTAAGGAAAGGACCCCCAATTTTCTGCTCCCAACATGTACCCACCATCACCGTCTTTCTCTCTCCTGGTAATTTATTACATAATCATAAATTTCACAATTTTCCCATAAAATTTCCTGTATTTTTCTCCAAAATCACTTGAACAGAAAGCAGGAATATGAAAATTTTATTTTATCATTATTTTTTTAACGATGAAAGCCCCCACCGCCTTACCTAATTTGGGTGTTCAGATTACTCTCCTAAGAAATGCTGCTTTTATATTTTTATAGAATA